GCCCACCAGGGGGCGGGGCTGGCTGGCATGTGGTGCTGGGGGATTGAACCGTGGTCCCTGTGCTTTGCTAAGCTTGTTCTATCTAGGTAGGTGCTTTAGACCACTGAGCCATCTCACCAGCCCTCCCCTCTCCTTTCAAGCTCATTCTTTCAACAAAAAGTATTCTTTTTCTTTTGGTCTTCTATAATTGTCTGTGGTTTTTTTTTTTCTTTTTCTTTTTTAAGTGCAATATAACACTTTAATATTCTAACTTATGCTATAGTGCTTTTTTTGTTGTTGTTTTTTGTTTTTTTGAGAGAGTCTTGCTATGTAGTTCAGGCTGACCTTGCTCACTATATAGTTCGGCTACTCAGACTTCAGCGATCTTTCCTGCCTCACCCTCTTGAGTGCTGGGATTACAGTTGTGCATCACCATATCTGGCAGAGTAACATTTTTTGTATCTTCTTGTAGATAGGGGAGTTGGGATTTGAATCTAGGAAGACTAGTTGTAGAATCATTTCTAATTATTCACATATATTTTTGTGCTTCTATGTGATCTCAAAATTTCTTTCTTTTTTTTTTTTTTTTTGCAAAACCCCAGATTGAACTCAGGCCCTTGTGCTTGCCAGGCAAGCACTTATTCTACTGAGCCATCTCCCCGGCCCCATAACCTCAAAATTTAATGGTAACATAATACTTTATGCTTTTACTGTGTCCTAATTGTCCCATTATTAGTGAACAATTAAATACTTTTTTCTATATATATCTGTGAATTTTTAAAACTTTGATTTGTTTTATAGGGATAAAGGTAAGTGATCTTGCAGGATCAAGTCACCTGGTATTACTGTCAACTACAGTGTACTGGCAAAACATTGATGTTGTCCTTGATTTAATAGTTTTAAAAATGTCATAGCACCCTGAGGTGCCTTACAGGAATGCCAGTTTATTGACAGGAACAAGCTGCTGACAGCCCTATGGTAAATGGATTGAAACATAACAGGATATTGCCATGCTACTACCCTGAAAGATTGTTGAAGATATGTACATCCTTGCTCAGGAAGCTCCTGAAACTAGTGCTGTTCTTTGAGATTTGTGTCTTTGGACAGCCTGAGCTGCAACATCAGGAGGAAGTTTTTGTTTCTATATTTCAGGAGTGAGTTGGCCACTGACCAAATGGCTACCTTTATCCTTTTTTTTCTTAATAGCAATAAAAGTGAAGCAGGATGAAAGTTATTGGATCTCTATGGTTGGGTTTTGAATCCAGCAACTACATCAAAGTGCAAGAGGGTGACTTTCAGGGTCATCATTATGTCTTCCAGTATATCTAAGTGTTGTATCTTAAGTGTTTTTTTTTACTGAAATACTAATTTTATTTTCAGGCTAGGGACAGCTCGTGGATTCATGTAAGCTTCACTTTTCTTCTATGAGGATCATTCTGCTCATTCTGTTAACCAAAATCAGTGTATAGTTTCATCTCTGGTCAGAGGCATAAACTAAACTGGAGATGAGTTCTCTTTACGCCACACTTTTTTTAAAACCTGAATTTTGTTTGCCAATATTTAAAGAGTAGTAGACATCACAGAAATATACAAGATTCCTGTGTTATCTTGAAAAATGGTTTATCTGGCAGTGTTGGATCTACCTTCCTTGAAGGTGCTAGTCAGAGCTGAGTAGTAGCTGTGCTCTTTAAACTGAGGCTGCATACTCTGGTTTATAATAATGCCCACCCTATCCTCTTCATTTCTTATTACATTTGGATCTTAAAAATGGTAGTTTTCAGTTTTCTGACCTTTCTAATCCTAAAATTAGTGGACATTGTATAACTTAGCAACAGAGAATTTTGAAAGTTGGTGAAATTCTTTAACTATAAGGAATAAAAAAGCATAGGACCAGCCAAATAGCTCAGCAGACTAAAGCCCCTGCTTAGGCAGATTGCAGCGGCTCAGTGTGCTGTGCCAGGCCCGTCCCCGGGGCATGCTGAGACAGCTGTGGAAACTGGGCATGGTGACACTTGCCTGTAATCCCAGCTCTTGAGAGGCTGAAAACAGGAGAATCACTATGAGTCCGATCAACATAGCGAGACCCTGTAGATCCTGCAGAACCTGTACCCAAAAGAAAAAAAAAAAGAGAATAAAAAACAATATTACTGCCTTTCCAGTAAGATTACTACTTCTTTTTTTAAATTTTTAAAAAATTTTTATTTTTTCCATAATTTTATTGAGAAACAAATAGCAATGAGACAGTTTCAAACCAAATTGGTAGAACAGATTCAATAATTAACACATTGCATACATTCACTATTTCTTTTTAAAAAAATATTTATTTATTGGATATAGGGTCTCACACAGCTCAGACTTGTAGTGATCCTCCTGTCTCAGCCTCCTATGCTGTGGGATTACAAGTGTGTACCTCCATGCCTGATTTTGAGGCCAGCACAGCACAGAGTTGGCATGGTATGTGGTACTGGGGATGGAACCCAGGTCCTTGCGCTTGCCCAGCAGGCGCTTAGACTCCTGAGCTATCTCTACAGCTCAGGATTACTATTTCAATAAGTTACATAGGCACTACTAGGCAAAAGGGCACAATGAAGTAGACAGGTGCTTCTGTGTTTAAATTGAGAAGATAATATTGACCTTTTTTCTTATATTTGACACAAAAGTAAGGACTAAATAAGTATGCATGTAGTCCTTCTGATGGATTATGTTTCTGACAAAGGTTTTTGGTATTAGCAACTCATTGCTATGACCATGGTGATGTGATTTTTCTAGAGTGGTGAGCGATCTTAGAATGCTGGTTCTAAACAGAAGATAGTACGATCTTTCCTTGATTTGTGTAATTAACAGGATTACATTACCAGAAAATATGCTAAAAAGCAAGATACATTTTGTATTTATATATAGAATGCAGTTGAAGTTTTAGCCTTTCAAAACACAATCAATTTGTGGCATGTGCCTAAAAGTCAAATAAGATGTAACCTAATTGTCCTTTGTGCAGGACTGTCTCGTACGTTACAAGATGTCTCGATTTCGTGCTTATCTCCATAAATACCAATGAACTACCCCCAAAATTGTGTTAACCAAATCTCTTAATATTTCTGCAGTGCCCCCTAAAGGACAATTTTTATATTGAAAATTATGATCCTAAGCTTTTGAATTCATTCTTACTTCTTGAAGAGTTTTGAATTTTTTTCACTGATTTTACTAATTGAATACCTTGTTGTTTTACTTTGTTTCTTTAATTTCTTCCTGTTTGTTTCCAATATTTTACCTTCATTGTTTTACTTGCTATGCCAATGATTGTAGGGTCTTTGTCTTAATTTTTTTTTGTTGTTGTTTTGTTACCATGGATTGAACTCAAGGCCTTCTGCTTACCAGGCAGGTGCTTATGCTGCTGAGCTATATCCCTGGCCCTGTCTTAATTTTTTTTTGTGTCTGTCTGTATTTTATTAAAATTTAACATCTATTTCTCTATTACACATTGTACTTTAGTTTAGCTTTTTTTTTTTTTTTTTTCTTTTTTCCTAGAGACAGGGTCTCACTATGTAGTCTAGGCTGACCTTTAGACTCACTATGTAGCCCATGCTGGCCCCAAACCAGTGATGCCCCTGCCTCAGATCCTGGGGTTACAGACATGTGCCATCACACCCAGCTTTAGTTCAGTTTTTGTACCCTTTACATATTTTAAAAATAAATTTATTTCATTTTACATTTACAGAATTAACATTTCTTGCATTTAACAACTTTTAAAAGTTTCAAGAAAGTAAGAGCTATTACATCTGTTTGGGTTGGTGTCAATGATGCTCCTTTCTTTATAATTGAGAATGATGGCAGTTGTTTCTTAGAAATGCATATTCCCAGGCTCTAGCGTTAACCTATAGAACCAAGATTTCCAGAGATAGGGCCTAGAATCTGAATTTTAGTTAGAGTCCTCTAGATGCTTCTTACGTAGATGATGGAGTTTGAAAGATTATATTTTGTTTCTTGTTTTTTGCCTTCTAAAAATTCATTTATTTTTTGGCTGGATATGGTGGT